TTCCTCCCTGAGGCTGCCCTTATCGATCGTTTCTTGGCCAGCCTTCCGCTCGAGTACCGCTCCGAGCTATGGCGGTACGAGTTCACATCGGCCCCACAGGCTTACAAGGCCGCTAGGGACCACCAGCGGATGCGAGCCCGTCTTCACCCCGCCTCCTCCTCCCAGCCCCAACGCATGGGCTACGCCTCCTCCTCCTCTCACGGCACTTCCCAGCGCCGTTCCCCTTTCCGCGGTCGCCCCCACCGTTTCACACAGCAGGGCCGCCACTTCTCGCGCCGCTTCAGCGCGCTGGAGTATGGTGAGCAGGACGTTGTTGCCCCACTGTCATCTGAGGGCGACCACAGCGATGAGCTCGATCTCTGCGAGGCCGTCCACTATCACTTGGAGGACTCTACCCTCCCTGCAGCTGAGCGCCTTCAGCTCACGCTCTCTGCCCTCTCTCGGGCACGCAGCCGCCCCGGTCACGCTGACGCATCGCCCCCCGAGGTCCCTTAGGAGGACCTCCCTCAGGGCTTCGTCCCTCCTCGTGGTGTCCTTTCCCCTAAGGAGCGCGCGACTATTCTGGGCCGGCGTGGGTGTTTGCGCTGCCGCTTGGACGGTCATACCTCCTCGAGGTGCCCTTACACTACCGCCCTCGACCGCCACTACGCTGACCTTTCTCGTTAGCGTCGTGCTCAGTCCCCCCCCGGCGCCTCACATCCCGCGGTGCCTCCTAGCCACGGTGTAGTGTACACCTGCGCCCTCCTCAGTATGGGCTTCCCGACATCTCCATCGCGGTTCGCCCCTCTCGCTACTGGAGTTGAGGTATCGCAGGACTCGATGAGGGTACTCAGCCCTCTGTCGCAGTACCGTTTGCGCCTCTGCAGACCACCGTCTCCCCTCCTTCCCCGCCGCGAGTACCGACGCGTCGAGCCATTCGCTCAACCCGTCGCAGCGAGCAGCTTGCTACTCGCGAGGACGTTGTGTCCTCTCTTCTGGACTTGAGCATGCTCCAGGCTCGTCAGGAGCGACTCACCCTCCATGTCGCTGCACTGCGTCGCCTTCTTGCCATCCTCTTTGACCCTGATCGCACCCTCCCGATCATCCCTGTACGACTCGGGACCTCCACGAGGGTGTACTCAGCGTTGTGGGATTCCGGTTCTCAGGGCGACTTCATTCACCCACGCATGGTAAAGGAAGCCCGCTTACCCTCGACACGGTCTCCGACTCCCATCTCTGTTACCCTAGGGGATGACAAGACCCAACGCTTCTTCGATCAGACGGTCACCGACCTCCGCTTCCTCCTCACTCTCGAGCCGACTGATCGTTCCCAGGCGTCTCGTCGCCACCGCTCCTCTGCACATTTCGATGTGATGGAAACGGGGTACGACTTCATTCTCGGCACTCCGTGGTCTCATCGGTTCCGCAGCACCGAGGCCGATTGGGCGACCAACACTCTCGTTCTCAAAATGAAGTGTGGACAGACGTATCGCGTACCTTTCATAGGTACCACGGCGACACCACGCCCCGATCCTCCTCCCCTGGAGCCTTCAGTGCCCACACCATCTCCCTCTATCACTGTCACCTCGCCTCGGCAGTTCGCTCACTTCATTCGACAGGACGATGTCACCTTCTTTATGGTGAACGTGACGGATCTCTTACACTATGATCCACCCTGTCCCGACGCCGAGCTCATCCCTCTGGAGCCAGATCCTCCCTCTATCTCCATGACTCCCATCTCTACTTCCGTCCCTCCGCCGTCCGTCGAGTCCACCCTGCCGTCGCGCGCTGACGCTGACGCTGAGGAACTCGCACGATATACGGCTGACTTGAAGCCCGCAGTTCGTGACCTCATCCGAGAGTACCACGACATTTTTCCATCGTCGTTCTCGTACACCGGCATCCCACCGATGCGTGACGTCGAGCACTTCATTCAGCTCGTGCCTGACTATCGTGTTCACCATCAGGCACCCTACAGACTCTCGATCCCCGAGGCCACCGAACTCAAGCGTCAGCTTGAGGAGCTCCTGAGACTGGGTTTYATTAAACCCAGCAACTCCCCRTGGGGTGCACYCGTCCTCTTTGCTCGCAAAGCGGATGGAACTCTTCGTCTCTGCATCGACTACCGCGGCCTCAACCGCTACACGGTTAAGAACAACTACCCCATGCCTCGTTCCGATGAGCTGTTCGACCGCCTAGCAGGCAACCGCTTCTTTACGAAGATTGATCTTCGTAGCGGTTACCATCAGATCCGCGTCGCTGCAGCCGACCAGCTGAAGTCCGCGTTCCGATCACGATTCGGCCACTACGAGTTCACGGTGATGTCATTCGGCCTCACCAACGCACCCGCTACCTTCCAGAGGGCGATGAACGACATCTTCAGGGACATCCTGGAGCAGTACGTTCTCGTCTACCTCGAAGATATCCTGGTCTATAGTCGTACCCTTGAGGAGCACCTCAGACACCTTCGCGACGTCCTTGACCGCTTGCGCAGACATGGCTTCTATGCCAAGCTAAGCAAGTGCCGCTTTGCCCAGCACAAAGTGGATTTCTTAGGACACTACGTGTCTGACCAGGGTCTCCACATGGACGACGTGAAGATCACTGCTATTGCGGAGTGGCCCGCTCCCACATCCGCCAAGCAGCTTCGCAGCTTCCTAGGCCTGACCAGCTACTATAGTAACTTCATCCGGGGACACGCTAGCTATTCCTACGTCCTTACCTCCACCCTCCTCCGGAAGAACCCACGCTGGGCTTGGACACCCCTCCACGAGGACGCCTTCCGTGCCCTCAAGAAGGCGGTGACATGCGCACCGGTTCTTCATCTACCTGATTTTGACCGCCCTTTTATCCTTACCACCGATGCGTTAGACTTCGCTGTAGGAGCAGTGCTTTCTCAGGTCTTCCCCTCATCTCCTGATTCCTCTCATCCTCGTATCCCTCGCTTCCCACCACCTACCCCTACCACTGCTTCCCTACTGACGCCTACTCGTTCAGCTACTGACGAGCCTTCTATTGACTATTCTCCTACCATCGCCGAGGACGGCACTGTCGAGTCTCGCTCAGGTGATTGTCCGATAGCCTTCTACTCCCGTTAGCTTCTCCCCGCCGAGATAAACTACACTGCTGATGAACGTGAGGTTCTCGCCACGGTTGTCACGCGGGGATCCCCGGGGCCCAAGCCGGGGTAGGGGTTTC